TCTATGATTTATTTTAAGATGAGTGTAATATAATAGTTAATTAAAAATGCATATATTACAATCAAAATTTGATCGAAATGAGATTACACTTCTTAGATTTATTTAATATGCTTCTATGATTTATTTTAAGATGAGTGTAATATAATAATTAATTAAAAATGCACATATTACAATCAAAATTTGATCGAAATGATTTTACACTTCTTAGATTTATTTAATATGCGTGTGATATAATAATTAATTAATAATTCATATTTTATACTCATCAAAATTTGATCAAAATATCCGAAACTAAATTTTCTCCGAGAATATCACCGTCAAATACTAGCTTTAAAAATATCTAACAAATTGAATAAGAAACCTGAAGCACGCACCATGATTTTTTTGAATCAGTGAAGAATCTAAAAGCAAAGCGAGGCACTGGTTTCCATTCAAAACAATTCAAACAGTTTGTCCAATGCTGGATATTATTAACTCCGATTGTAATATGTATCAAGTCAGAAAATCATTTCATCGCAGATAAACGATTTCTTCCAATCAAAACCCATCATCAGTGAAAATTATTTATGCCAGTAAATAACTTTCCTAAGTTTTATATGCTTCCAACGCTCTGTTTAATTCATTTAGAGGTCTTATTGCTTAGTCTTATCTACGTTGCATAAAAAGATTTTTTTTTTTTTTGGTTAGCCTCTCTCTCACTGTTTTTGAAAACCACTATTTTCATTCAGCAATCAATACTGTTGAGAAAATAAATAATAAATCCTCTTGGAAACCTTTTGGATGGATGTATGAACAGTTTATTACACCTCTCATTAAATTTTGTATTAATTCTGAGTTTTGATGCTCAATTCTCAAGAGCTGAACCCTTCATCGATAAAAGAAAAAAAATGGACGATGTATGCACTCAATTCCTATGCATTTACATGCCTAGCATCTATACTTCAATTTTTACTTATATATGCCACCTTAACTGCCCATGAAAAGGTGTATTTGGCTTTTCAAAATTTAAAATAGTGGTATTTTTATGTGATATGAAAATTTTGGGTGTTACAAATGTAAAAATGTAAAGTTTAGGTGTTAGATTTGTTACATGTAAATACATAAGAATTTTGTGGCAAGCATGTAAATGCCCCAAAAAGAATATCATTGATAAATAAATAAAATAAAATAAAAAGACGGGCTTTTTGATAAATACCTGAGGGATGATGAATTTTCCAGTGAGTAAACAGACAGCAGGTAATGTACAGTACAGGAGAAGTGGGATTGAGGTAAGAGGGTAAATTGTGGTGTTAATGTATGCAAATCTCTCGAGATATTTGAGCCGGCCACCGTAACCATACCATATAGGACAGTGTCGACTAAAGAGAATCTCAACTGATCCCAGGGCCCACCGAAGAACTTGATTCAGACGGTCTGAAAGGTTAATAGGTGCGGATCCCTTGAAAGCAGGGAGCTCAGGCATGCAATAAATCGAGCGCCATCCACGAGCATGCATTTTGAATCCAGTAAGAATATCTTCTGTGACAGATCCATAAATCCAGCCAATCTAAAGGCACACATAACAATATAATTAGTTGGCTAACAAAAAAAAATGGAAGCATGCGATTCCAATCCATGATAATAAGTTATTAACATAATCAACATGAAGGCCTTTGATTAAATATATAATACAGGAGAAAATCAACTCAAGAATCGCTAATTTCTTATTGTAGCTAGCCTACTTAGAATATGGACATAAATCACAACTCAGGTGCAACCACCTTGGACATTTGATGTTTTTTTTCTATTGTTACATGCAGAATTCAGTAGTTTAGCTTCGTGTAGCGGATGAAAAGTGGCGTTGAAAATCTAAATTTGAATAAATTAGTTCTTGTGCTAACTGATTTTGTTTATTCCCAAGTCGAAATTGAAAATTTCAAATATTTTCAATTTCACAATCAACTGATTTTAAACTCCACCATTTCCCATTTTCATTTAAAGAAAGTTAAGTCTTTAAATTAATTAATAATATATGATCCATAAACAAATAATATTAATTCACATGAAAGCATACTAACCATTATATTAGTTGCATTTGAAATAACCTAATCCTACGCCTTCCTGCATCATGGTAGCTCGTAAGCAAATACAAGAAGTTATTCATGCTGAAAATATGTTTTGATAACACAATGAATTTCTCTGTAGCTAATAAGAATGAGAATACATTTTGATTCGTGCGAGGAAATTTGTGGGGGTAGAGTAGTTAGCAAAATATTGTCTTAGCATTATATGAGAATCCAACACACACTCAGATAGAAGTAAGCAACCAATAACAACACCAAACGTAATTACATGAAAAATCTGGGTCTTGCCCAATTGAAATATTCCACTATAAGTTATAGGTACACCAGACGTCTTTACAAGAAAAACTTAGGTATTGCCCAGTTGAAATATTCCACTATGAGTTGGTTATTATAGATACAAACCCTTGTCTCATGGGTGGGAAGGGGTTACATAGTTTTTCGGGTTACAACGACTGTGAGTAGAGGAACTTGTTGTCCCGTGGTAGGGATCGAGCGGCGACAACAACACAAGTCGGCGGCTGGAAGTAGAGGCGGCGGTTGGAAGTAGCGACAGAAGGCAGAAGGTAGCGGCAGTCGAAAGAGGCGGCGGCGAAGGCAACAATGGTCGTAAGTGGTGGCGATGGTCGAAAGTGGTGTCGATGTCAGCTGAAAGAGGCGGCGTTCGGAGGTTGCAACGGGAGCGGCCATAGGAGGTCGAGGCCAGAAGCTGCGATTTCAACCGTGGTCAGATTCCTTCATTAACAACAACCTGGACTAAGTCCAGAACCTGTAGAAGTGCATCCTACACCGTAAATTTTACCAACTCCAGTTGCTGGCGCCGCCTCCGGTCGCCACAGCCTCAGGTCGTCACCGCTTCATATTGCTGACGTCAACGGTCAAAGTTGCTACAGATCGCCCCCCCCCCGCCGCGCGCGCCGCCGCGCGGTTCACCTGCCCCCCCCAGCAACCTCCGGCTAAGTTCGGTCGTTGTCGCCGCCTGCGGTCTCTACCACCTCCTCTGGTCGTCGTCGCCTATGCCGCCACATCCTCTGTCCGTAGTTGCCGCCTCCGTCACCACCGCTACCTCTAGATGTCGTCATCACCTCCGATTGTTGCCGCCGACTCCAGTCACCGCCGACTCTGGTTGCCAAAGTAGGCACTTCTAGTTGTCGCAGCCTCCGACCGCCTTTGCCTCTTCCTAATTTGGTCGCCGACGCCGCCACCTCTTGTTGCCAGCACCGCAACCTCTTATCACCGCTGCAACCAACTCTCTACCACGGGGCAACAAGTATTACTACACATAGACGTAACCAAAAAAACTATATAACCCATTTCCTCCTATGGGACAAGGGGTTGTACCTATAATCACCAATTCATAAGAATGTTTCAGCTAAGCAAGACCTCGTGGTTTTTTCCCTTTCTGAGTTTTCCACAAAAAAACTTATGATGTAGCTACTAATTGCTTACTTTTTGTCTAAAAGTTTGTTAGATTCTTATACAACGCTAACACAATAATTTGCTACTCTACCACCGCAATTTCCCACACATCGATTCTAAAGGAGAAAATGGTTCAGCAGTGTGAAAATTGGACGTTTCAACATAAAAGAACTGAAATTGCAATTACAAATAGCAAGCAAAATTAAAATTGCATCCTTACCTCACTTCCCCAGTCTGTCTTATCCTCATAGCCACAGCTGATGACATGAATAGCTTCTTTCAATAATGACTCAGGAGTTGCGGACTGAGGAACACCACCATGCTCCATTAGAGTTGAAGCAACAAAGACAGATGACTGGCCAAATCTTTTCTCCAAACTCATTTGTGACATGAGAAGTGATTTCTCGTCATCAAATCCAGCACCTGTATTTTAAAGAGCGACAACGAGCAAGGCTTAGACTTAACAGGAGATGTCACCTGAGTTTTCTTGCAGGATACAAAGCAGATAAAGCTGGGAGGATCATCTAATGTAAGCATTAGAAATTTTAAAGCAAAAAAGCTATTACTAACAGCACAAAAGGAAATAAAAAAGTTTATTAAGCAAGTCCATCATATCCACATATTGTTGATAGGAGCAAAACTACAAATGACCGGAAAAGCAATCAATGTTTCAAATGAGAACTGAATGTAGGCATCAGCCCTAACTCTTCTCATTTTGTTAGCAAGTTATTAAAACTTTGGATTATTGTTTCTCTTAATTAATTTTTATGGGCAGGATAACGACGGCCTGTTCAAATTTAGTTAATTATTGCATGTTTTTAGTTAACATTATCATCAAAAGTAGTCATTCCAATAAGAAATATTAAGAGACAATTAGATGATCGGGGAAAGCAGAAAATAAAAGCAATACCGAAGTAATCATATTTGAGCTTACACCAATATTCAGTTATAAACGATTTCAGTTTAAGCCTTCTCCTCATTGGGAAAAGAATAAGAATTGTAACTTCTAAATAAGAAGGCCATAGTGTTTGCAAAATAATAACCAATTCATCACGTTTATCTCATAAGTAGCTGTAAAATGTCAAAACATTCGGAAAAAAGGTATATGTTCTAATAGAATTAGCATCAGAAAACTATTTAACTTCAAATATAAATCTAGAACAAACTCAAATTGTTTGATCTTAAGAAAATCAATACTTGAATCAATATAACATTTTACGAGGATTTTAAGAACAGATGAAACAATATATATATATATATATATATATATATATATATGCGTTACCTTCAACACCTTCTTCTATATCCTCCAGGTTGAATATAGGTACAGTATTATCAACGTGCTTGTTTTGCTTCTTATTGTCAGAACTCTTCTTCTTAGACTTTGAATTTTTCTTACGAGAGCCACCACAACATAAAGAGAAAAAGCCACTGTTTTTAGACTTGTTTTTCACTGGAGGTTCATACCCATACAATGCAGTTCTATTGAAGACACAACCAGTGCCAACGTAAACCGGTCCTTGAATCCCATCGAGGCCTCTTAAATTAATCTACCAAAGCATAACAAGAAAATGGTTAGAAAGAAGCATACTAGATATAGTATGATTTCAGATTTTAATTAAATAATTACTACATTTAAATAAAGAATGCATTCATGCAATGTTACAATGCCCAAAAGTTTAGTTGATCAGTTTTACTTTCATCTTCTCGTATGTGATTATCTAATATTCCACAATATACAAGGCCTCCAAAACTTAAGGTTTCCATTCCCACTGTCATTTAATTGATCAATTGTTATCATTCCTTTCGTTGGATGGTCACCTGCCTTTGTTTTCTCTTACTCTGCTTTCTATCACAATAAAGAAAATTTTGTCTATGTTTAAACAACTCAAAATGAAAAAGAACAACTGATGACACAATTATACAAGTATTAAAACATTTGAAATTCACGGAATTGGGAAAATAATCCATTTTAATGCTGCAAATTAAATTGTCCGTCAAATTTGATGATTCCATGGAGCTTCACTCAATCAAAATCCTCACTGAAAACAAGCAAATAAACATTTCATCATTGAAACTCAAATTACAACACCGCAGAAAAATTTTCCATGGATTGCGTTAAATAGTACATGAAAAATATGATCAGACAAATATATCCAATGGTGTCCAGCATTTAAAAGGTAATAAGGAAGCATCATTCAAAGATATTAATGGAAAATGCTAGTAAACCAATCAAAAGTTCAATCTCTCGTACTCAATACACCTTAACAAATAAAAGATCATTAAGAGGTCAAGAATTCACATGGGAGAGTGCTACTCACATCAAAAAACACTGTATTGCGATTGGCATAACGATCGTGCTTATCAATGCCATCAAATCTTTGCGGAAATTGCACATAACAAACGGACCTTCCGAGGTTGGGGTCCATGAGAAAACACATAGCTTCTCTCAACGCCTTGCTATTATTTATGTAGTGATCACAGTCAAGATTTAACAGAAAAGACCCATTGGTAAGGACTGCAGACACACGTACCTGCAGAGAAGTTGTGAAGTAACTGAAATTTTGTAACTAAAAAATCAAAACATGTAAGTTTGAAAATTCCAAATACAAAAATAATACACATTGCCGAGTTTGTTTACCTACCAGTGCATTCATAGCACCAGCTTTTTTGTGATGTTGGAAACCAGGACGCTTTTCACGGGAAACATAGACCAATCGAGGCAGCTCGTTGCCTTCGCTATCGAGTCCTCCACTGTGGCCTAAGAACACCTGAAATGACCAAACATACAGGAGTATAAGTCCAGTTTATGCATACATAACATTTAGGGGAATTTACATATATATGACCTAATTCCTATATATTTAAATATCTAACAACTCAACTTTACCTTTTACATTTATACCACCCAAATCTTTCATACAACCTATATCATATGTACTTAGGTATCTAACACCAAAACTTTACATTTCATATTTATAGAACCCAGATCTTTCATATTACATCTAAAAACAATCATTTTAACTTTTAAGAATTGAAATACACTTTTTCATTCATTTGTAAGGTTAGATGTATGTAAAAAATTAATTTTAGGTGTTAGATATGTACATACATACGAATTGCATCGTATGTATGTAAATCTTCCTTACTTCAATATTGCATGTACTTTTCTAGCATAACACAAAAATTTGTCAAAAAAATTATGTGCGCAGATAACCCGAGGTCAATGACATGGTAAAATATGTATGAAGCATTGGTCAACGACAAATAGCTAAGGCATGCAAAATGAATCGTGCATATCAATATATACAAACTTTCTTAACCACGAAAATTTAATCCTAATCACTAGCATTCTGCTTTTCCATAAACCCAAGGGCAGACAGATCGGGAACTGGAAGGGCAGTTTAATTCAAAATAAAACTTCAGCAGCTCCTCTCTCTCGCTGGACTTCGCTTGGACGGACGCACCAAAGGCAACGGGGTTGCCGTATTTTGGTTTCCAAAGCCACAACAAGCTGCACATCTTGGCCTTTCTTCTCTACACGCAATCAGCACCTCAACCAGTGGGGTTCTTTGTCACCGCCACCATTCTTGTATATATTCATGTGGAGGACAGAAGCATAAAGCCCACTCGGACTTAGAGCAATTGGACCAAGAGGAAGAAATCAGGATTAAAAAAATAAGCTTGTTTCCAAATATTATTACTTCCAATTAAGTACAGGAAAATTATATTATTATCCTTTTCATTGTTATATTTATTATGAAATTTCCTTGAACTCATTTAAAAATTATTATTAAAATTACATAATTGCAAATCACTTAATTCCATTTGATTGGGTGAAAGTCTATATTTTGTCATTTGAAATTAATTTCCGCACAGCAAATGCACAAGCAGATTCTACTAACCTTAAAACTGAATTAAAAAAGAGAAGAAATTAAAATAAATAAATAAATAAAATCCTAATACCTAACCTCGTACTGTTCAGTATTACTTAAATGATGGTTCCAGGGCAAAGTAGATATTGTTAAACTTTACACCATCTTTGTCACAGGAAATTGTGCAAAGCATAACAGGAGATGGTGATGGGAAATTTAAAGGCTCAATCGCCGTGAATATCATTGTCTCACTAGAAAAGGTATAATATTCGGGCAATAGAATTATTTTTAAAAAACTCCATTCAGTAACCATCAGGCGGGGAAAATGAACTTCTATGAAGATTATTTTTAAAATCAGGGTTTCATGCTTTCTTGCAGAAATAATTTTGGGACAACTGAAAAATTTTAAAAACCTCATTCAATGAGAGCAGAGTACCCATTTGGCGGAAAAATCACAAACTCGTTTGAAGAATTAAGAGTTATTTGTTTGGAATATAACCCTTCATGTAGGTACACTAAAGACCCGTCACATAGTTTAAACTCACATGTTTGCTTCCCAATTACGTCTTTTGAGACCACGTATTGAAAACCATGATTTTGCTCCATGACCACAGTGATTCTTTTGAGATAGCTAAGACAGTTGACACTATTTCCTACCCCCTACCAAGGGTTGACGCCGGGAGACTGTCGAAATGGGGATCTTAATTTATAACCTCACGTTTTCTACATGTATTTGAAGGCTCATCGCATCTTTTGAGATAGAGAGTTAAACGTTGTCTGTGCTCTCTGACCGCACTGTCTTACAACACTGACCAACGATTATTTTGAGATAGCTGGGAATGTTAGCATTCTCCCACACCCCCTAACAGGGGTTGACGCCAAAAAGATGCCAAAAGTTTTAGTGATTTAGACTTGTAATCTGAAATCTTCAATTTATAAAATCAAATAAAATGTGACTCATTTTGAATTTTAAAATGATTGAGAAACTCGAGCTTTTAAAATTTAGACACTTAGGGTTTCAAATGTCGGGGTCCTGGGCTTTTGAATATTTAGGCATTTAAAAATTTTAGAGTTAAGGGTTGCTAAAATATAAAATTTCAGTGCTTAAAATATTTAAATTTGAATTTTAAAATTAAAGTTCATAAATTTGAAAAATATTTTAAATTTAATTTTTTCAGATTTAAACTCCTAGGGAACGAAAAATAATTTAAATATGAAGTTTTCTAAAATTTTAAAATCCTGTCATCAGATTCGCAATACATCTATAGTGAATAACATACAATCGCTCTTAAAGCTCAAAATGAAAGTATTAACCCAAAAATCATAACACTTGCTTCAACTATTCCAATTTCTAAATGATGTGTAAAGTTAACATTCAAGATTTTCTTAAAGTCAAATCCAAGATTTTGAAATTAATACAAGAGCTTTTAAAGTATATGAATAACAAGTTGAACACTCTCAAGTTATAAATATTTTAAAATATTTATGGTCAATCATGTGTAATCTCAAAACTTTCTATAACACAGTTTCAAAACCAATATGCATTTGCTTCAACCAAAATATTAAATATTTAAATACGATGTTCGAGAATGTTGCATGAGCTAATCGGATTGTCTTATCTATACAATAAAATTGTAAGTCTCATCAGACTAATTCAATCATCCTCCTTATAATGACTGAAGTTGACAAACCTAATAAACTTTAATAAATGTTCAAATCCTGAAATAAGAATTTATAAGTCTAAATCACGTAGTCTGATCCTCATATCCGTAAAAATAGAAGTTGATAGGACTTACTTTGAAAAGCTTAAATTAGCAAAACTAAATATCTCCTTCAAATATAAAAGTTTTAAAATGTTCAATACTCAGATGATGGCCGTGTTGACTGAAAATTTCAACCGGAGAGACCAATCTATTAAATTAAAATTTTTAAAGTAACCAACTAAATGTTCAAGTTACAATTCAATCACTTAAAACTAAAAACAAAATATATCCACCCTCCACAACAGTTTGTCAAGGGTGATAAATTTCTGATTGACTTCAGCTCACAAAGAGCTAATATCATTTTAAGTGTATTAATATATTCACAATCAAAATAATTGCATGTCGGTAAAGACATGACCCAAGTCCTTTATAAGTGTGATTCTGCCATTAAATGACACCACAAAGTAGTGGTTACGACCAGAACTCTCGGACTGGATAGTTACAACCAAATTACACAATTATATTACGATCAAGGCCGCAACCCATATATACCACAACGACTTTCTATCCTTTGCGTTGTGAATTACAAGGATTAAATTGATTGACATAAAGATTTATGTTAACTAATAATCTACAATGATCTCTTGCATTGTGAATCTACAAGAATCTCTTGCACAGCGCAACTAATGGTTGCTAATAAGAATCATTTTGTAATGTTGGGTCGACTACCTCCCCTAACTATGTAGAGCAGAGACCACGACAACCCAGGATGACATAACAATAAGAGCTTGATCGTGTTTCGTCTTTATTACCCCACTATTTGCTTTAAGCTCCAAGTGATGTGTTTTATAATTTAAAATATTATATGTTTGCTGCTATTATATATTCAATTTTCAATTTTTAATGCTAGCTTTAATCGAAAGTGTTATCTCGTTATCGGGATGAGTAATTAACCATAGGGATTTGTGCTTATGGGAAACCTCAAACTCCATTATCAAAAAGTCATTGTTGAATGAGAGCGAAATCTTTATCTCATCTGCTTTTGAAAATTTGGTCCTTTAAAGATAACTCTCAAAACAAAAATAAAACAAATGCAGGGATTTCCATAAGGAGCGGTCGTTAATTTTGAGAGCCCACAGATTCTTCTATTGTTTTGAGTATTCCATATTCGAGTTTAAGATGCTTTATTTGTTTTAATAAGCAATAATTATTGTTTTACTCGATTATACAGTAAAAAAAGAAACTGATGTGTTATGTCCTATGAAATAATTGCTTGATTTTTCTGAGGGATATTTGATACAGATGATGCTATAGTTTTGTGCTATGTATGAATTAAAATAATAGTTCTCGTGTAAATTATAAGTTGTTTGTGAATCCGGTCACTTTATGTATTGATGGAGTGTGAAGGGAAATATCTTGAAATATTTATATATAAATCCTTTTTATAACCCCCTTCAACAGAGTTATTGGTTCCGCCCTGCATAAACTTCCATTATTCTAGAGCATTTCAGACGAACAAGAACTCTCAATATATAGGAACAGTGTTTATCCACAAGAAAAAGCTGTAAAATGATTAAAAGTTCTTTTCTCCCATACGGGCATTATATATAACCAGATTCTGAAATGATCTACCTGAATCATTCCAGGATGATCTCTCGTGTTATTTCCAGGCCAAGGTGTGCCATCTTGCATGATCCATCCTTCTTCAGGAATCTTCTGTGCTTTGGCCACAAGGCCATTAACACGAACTTTAAACTCTTCATATTCTCTCTGCATCATATAAAAAGCACTGGTAAAATACTAAAATTCCAACTGAGCCTATGATTCACCCATGTTTAATAATCTAGGTCTCATACCTTCATTGCTCGACGATCCTTGACAAATGAAGGCTGAACCTTATCTTTGAGGTAGTCGATCTTCTTGGCAAAGTACCACTCTGGTGCCCGAGGTTCAATACTGTATTTCTTACAGAAAGGAACCCACTTTCTTGCAAATTCTGAAGTTTCTGAGAGGGCTTCAAATGTCAACATAGCAGCTCCATCGTCAGAGACATAACATGATACCTTATCCACAGGGTAATCCACAGCGAGAATAGACAGTACGGTATTGGCAGTGACTAGGGGTGGTTCCTTCAAAGGATCCACAGTGCTGACAAATATGTCCACAGCCGCCAACTGAGATGGTTCACCTTCTCTGTCATACCTGTCACAGACAAGAAGATTTGGGATGTTGATAGGCATTTATCTAATAAATAAAATTGTAGAAAAGTTGCAGTCACTCTAATACATGAAGAGTAAAAGCTCAAGGTACCTTATAGCTAGTCTATCAAGGTATGTTTCTCGGTTTACAGGAAACCACTTGGGGAACTGATCCAGAATCCAGGACATTGCAAACCAGATCTCACATATCACTGACAGTAACCACAAAGCATAAGCATTGCGCACAGGATTTGTGATACGATAGTGCAGGAAAATACAAAGGATAACAAGTCGCAAAGCGATGACCATCCTGTATGGGTTTATCCTGGAAGATGGAATAGAAACTTTCCTTGAAAGAGGCTGCCGGGTTTCATCATTACTGCATCACACAAGTTTATCATGAGAAGAAGACCTTTAACCATTAAAATTTAGGAAATTTACATAAATATGACACAATTTTTATGAATTTACATATCTAACACCCAAAATTTAATATATACATTTACAACACCTTGTTGTCATAAATATATGCATGAAAATGCGTATTTAACTTTTAAAAAGGTAACAAAAGATTTGAGTGACATACATGTAAATATGAAAGGTAGGTGTAAGATGAGTAAATACATAAGAATTGTATCGTCTGCATGTAAATGCCCCTTAAAAATTCGTACAAAAGTTGAGCACCGTTATATGGGAGCCATATAAAAATGCATAAAGTAAATAATATATAAGGAAAAACTAGGTTAAATCCTAAATACTACAAAAATTATAGTAAATCAAAAGAAACTGAAATATAAATCCCTACTGTAAACTAAAATATGAAATATAAATGACAACCAGATAATTTTGGTTTAACAGATAAAGTTGACCAATCCATGAAAAGGAGAGCATTAAACCTTTGATAAGTTTAAAAATGATCTATAAGAGAGCAACCTAAGAAAGGCAGAGGTAGACCTAGGAAGGAAGACTTGGGCTTATTGTATAAAAAGTGATCTTAATTTATTAGAACTAAATGAAAATATGACACTAAATAGGACCCAAACGAGAAAATTGATTCATTTAGCCGACCCCACGTAGTGGGTTTAAGGCTTTGTTGTTGTTGTTGTATATTTCTATGAGTTGGAGCAATTTCTACAAACTTTGCTTACATGTCCCAGGCTCATTGATTGTGTAGTAATTATAGCACACTTCTACATTCATCTAAAAAAATTGGTACAGGATCTGTCGTAGTGGTCAAATTCTTTCTTGCAAATCAAATTAAAATTAGCATCTTCTTTTACATTTTAAAAATCTTTTCAGCCTCACCTAGGCACAATAGATTTAATGGTGTAACTATAACTCTGGGAGCATACATAATACACACCAGGATTTTCTTAGAGTAGAAAATCTTGAGCCATTTTGCGTGTTATTCTTTCAATGAAGAAATATTCCTAGCTACTTTAAACTCATCATTTTCTCTCAAAGAGAATGGGCTGGTACCACTTGTTCAAAGGTTGCTCTCGAATAGGTCATTGTTAAACATATCAAAGGTTTAATGTTAAACATTATTCGTATAGGTCATTGTTAAACATTATTCGAACACATAGAAATATGTCGTGATATAATCAGCAATGTTCCTATGATGTTTAAAAAATTATACTATCAAAATGCAAATGTATAAATTTTATGAATAATCAAGAAAAACAAACATTGAAATTTTACAGTACATCAACAGAATAGCACATGCAACTACTAAGCATGGGTGCAATGGACTAAAGCAAGAACTATATTACAAATTGAAGATTCAACGTCATCAATGTAACAAGGTAGGAGAAAATTATCATTTAACTGAAATTTAACTATTAAAAACATACAACTGAAAACAAGCAGTTCATGTAAGAAGCTTACTAAAATTGAGCCAGTAGATTGAAAAAAAAAATGCAGGCCAAGATTTAAAAATTAATAAACTCACAATAAAGCATCTTCCATGTTGTAATCAGTTGCAGCGTCAATATCTGTAACAGCCCTGCCCTCAGATGGAGCATGGCGAGCGGTGCTAGTGACGTTTGTGGCCACTGGAGGTGCATTTTTATCTTGCTTCATTTTCCATCCATCAACTCTCTCTTTCCATGCAACATTTCCAAACCCACCAGAGAATTCCCTCGAGGGATTGGCTGATCAAGGAATTCATTCAAAAATTGAAATTAAAATATGCACAAAACTGTAATAGATGGAAGAAATTGCATTGATCAAACAGGTAAAAACTAAAATAAGTGAATGGAAACCGCACGGGAATGGTTCACGTAAGGAAGAGAATGCACACGCTTGCCAACATCACTCGGAGACATCATATGATCTGGTGATGCTCCTGGCAGTTCCCCAGATAGCTGAACACAAAATTGATTATATAAATATAGAAATATCATCTTTAAATTACTTAAATGAAAATATCAAACAGAGTCCAATATCATCCCATCAGGACATTCACAGATCTGTGTATCAATATAAATTTTTCGAATACCTCTTGGCTCCGACTATGAGTGAGCATAGGGATGTTGTTCCGAGGGATCTCCCCACTGTCATACTTCGGAAGTCCATGATTTCTGCTTTTCTCATAGTTCATATGCCAACCAATCATCTTGTCAGCACCCTTCTGATCCTGATTGCCTGACGGATAATCAAAATCGCTAGCATCATCAGCATCTACTTCATCCGCTTCCTCACCGTGGATAGGCGGACTCCCTAAATTTTCAACAAAACCAAAAAAATCATTACAGACTACAAGCCCGTCCATCAAGAAAATGCATTGAGAAACAACAACCAATGATGACATCAAGAAAATCAACAACATGCGAGTAAGAACCGAACCTTTATGCCTTTTATACTTAGTCTTGCATTGAGGACAGCACTGGTTCCCGTGCTTCCTCTCATAGTCATAGCACGGCCTGCAAACCGGGAATCCACAAACGTCACAAGCCACAAAAACATCTCCCTCCACCGTGTTTCCCACACCATCCCCGCAGATCTGGCATACTTGCCCGTTCTCATGCTTAGCATGCATCTTCATCCCAATCAAAATCAATCACATCAGTAACGCAAATATTGCAACAATAGACAAGAAACAGTAAAACAATTGTCTGATATAGATACCAACCCTCGTTTCCCCCTCAACCGCCATCAGATCTGGTAGTTTCTTGACCGATCTTGTTATGTGAGTGATTCACTGACGCATAGCTTCTATTGAAACTGCATTCAATCTAGCAAAATCGATAGCAGCCCTCCAACCTTCAGAATGAAAACCTGAGAAAACGAAATCCGGATAAACAACTCGCAGCTGAACTGCTTCATCAAATCACAAACAGAAGAAACAATCATTTGATTCGATTGCTCAACGGGAAAGCGAGATCTACCTCAGCTCTTGCTTTATGTTGCCCAGCTGGAGAGGGGGAAAGCGAGACTAATGTGAGCTCCGAAACCTTTCTCAGCGATCGGCTGTCGGTGTTGAGATGCAGATTAAAAGCCAGCGGAGGTTTGGATGGAAAGCGACGGCGCTCCAACTGCGGAGAATTTATTTTTAATTATTTTAATAATGCAGTGTAAGATGAGCTGGCGTGGGGCATTTGGGAGACGACCGACACTGATGCCACAAGCCGCTGTGTTTTCATGGATAAAATTATTTAATTGAGGGGTTTTTATAATCATTTCATTTATAGATAATCATATAAATAGACGAAAGTGGTGATTATTATTTTAAATAAAATAATCATTTCAATGACCGGTTTTATTCGAAATTTTCACAATGGCATCTAAGAGCCTGTTTGGGACAGCTTATTTGTTGTGGTGGTATTTTGGAAATACATCATTCCTGTTTAGATAAATTGTGTTTTCACAGTTTATGAGTTTTCAAAAAGCTAAAAACAGTGTTTTCACACCGCACTTATCTAGATTTCTCGCCGCAGTTTGGTTTTTCCAAAAAAATAAAAATTTGTAATAGCTCACGCATCTATCTTATCAGTAGGTTATTTTTAATCAGCTTATCAGCAAATTATTATATAAGTTGCAGCTTACCCAAACAGATCCTAAGTTTACAAATAAAATCTATTTTTTCTTCTAACTATGTTTAAAAAAAATAAACTTGATAACATAATTAAAAAGGGGGCAATGCGAGCATAAACAATTGTTTGATTTGTTGAAAAAGGTATGCATTATAATATATATGAGTGTATTACATTTCTTTTGCAGGTGTTGAATTCAAAAATGTTTGAAAAGCACACCCAAGTAATAAAGTGTTGTACAATTCAGAAAGAATAAACATTTTTTAATAGTAACGAGTAATAATTTTATTGTAAAATGATTCCTATTTATAGACATAGGGATATGATTGTTGAAATTACAGAATTGCCCTTGAATTATTGATTTTAATGGGGTTATTTTGGTAAATTATAGATATCAAATAAAATAAAATATAACAAGTAGGCATATTTGATCGTCATGAGGTATGGCGATCGTCATTTGCAATTTGATCGTTCGTCTTTAGATTGTCATGTCACTGTCTGCTTGATAATAATATCATCATATCTTAAGTTGATTTGGTTCTTAGGCTCGTTTCAGGATGATCATCTTATCTCAAGATTGTCAACCCATCGCATGAAAAGTACCCATGATTAAAAGCCCAGCGCTCTGTTTATCATCCAGCCCTTCACTTGCAGTCTTTTCGCTTGGTCGTTGGATTGCTTCAAGATTTGTGTTGATGTACTTTTCACGTATAGCAATGATTTTAAATTTCAATGTATATGAAATTCACTTTTTGGTTCATTTTTAATGCATACTGATATCAGCGCCGCCCACTGTCATCCATTTGCTCATCCTCACAACCCAACAACATCCCCCACTCACCATCGTTCATCCACTCACCCGTCTCCCACCACTGATTTCCATCGTCTCAAACGGCCCGCCATCTTCTACCTTAATAGGTTTTCTTAATACAAAATTTATTTTTCTTAAAAACAAATAAGAAAATGCAAAGTTCTACCTTTAATTTACACTAAACCAAATAACTTCAAAATATTCTAACTAGAACACATCACTTTAACAATACATGTATTGAAAAGCATCTATTGATACTCTTACACTAGAAAAGATATTCTAACTAGAACACATCACTTTAACAATACATTTATGTTACCCTCCATTCTTTTTTCCACAAACCAAACATGTATTGAAAAGCAGCTATTGATACTCATACACTAGAAAAACATGAATTTGAATTTTTATTTCTGAGTGATTACACAACAAATGCAAAACCCACGAGCAACAATTGGCTATGGCGAGCGATGGGCTGCTAGCAACGATCAAGAATGCAGAGCTAATTGGATGGAAGCCTAAAATGATGGTGGTAGTAAGCGAGAAGTAGCCAGGGTGGCAATGATGGAGGTAGTTCAACAGGGAGTGGCATGTGACAAATGTCCGGGGCTGCTAGCAACGATCAAGAATGCAGAGCTAATTGAATGGAAGCCTAAAATGATGGTGGTAGTAAGCGGGAAGTAGCCATGGTGGCAACAATGGAGGTAGTTCAACAGGTAGTGGCATGCGACAAATGTCCGATTGTTGATGAGACAAACGCTCAGCGATAAGTGACGGGCAACAAATGATGAGTTGCAATAGTAGCAAGCAACATTCTTTCACAAATGGTGTATTTTTAGTTCTCCCAAATTAAAAAAAATCAAATACAATAAATTGAATTTGGAAATAAAATTTAAATGCATTAAAATTTATATTGTATTTATTTTTCTTTATACCATGCAAAAAATTTTCAAAAAACCCCTTTTCATAGTGCCCACCTTAGTTCTTTGGCCAAACATTACCTATAAGCATGAAAAAAATAAAAAAAATAAAACAAAAATTTATTTTGTTTATATATTTAAAAAAATATATATATATATATATATATATATATATATTAAAAGAGCAACTCGTGGCTCCTTACGTGTTGATTAAAGGAAAGATACAGAGTTAAGTGGTGGGATAGTGGATCCCCGTCTAACAGGGGGTTCTCGTATCTGCATTACAACTCCACCCAAAAAAACAAGAAAATACATGTAAAAGAAACCAAAAAAAGTATACCAACATAAGTGTATACCCAAAATTACATTATAACAAAAAAAGATAATCCGAGAGTAAGTAAATCGAAGATGCAGAGTCCAAATTTTATGAAAATGTGCAGTCAAACTAATCATAATAGCCATCCAATCCTTCCAGCTGATTAACCCTCAAAACCAAATAAAATAGCAATAGAAATAGTGGGCAGCCAAGCAGTGACTCACAATCCATGGGAAAATCTGACATAAGCTACCTGCTAATAAGAACCAAAAGTAAAACAGGTAAAGTAATTCAATTAACTCTAGAGCACCCGTAGCCATAAAAGGAGTCCAAATAGTAACTAATGAAATAGTGAACCTAATAGAATGTGAGCACTCAAGTCCTGTATCCAATAAGATGTGAGCTTCCAGACCATTATTCTTTAAAGTGAAAACAAAGTAACATGAAAACCTCAAGTAGTCCCAAATTAATAGCTTCAAGAAACAGATACCCCTAACATCTACGTGCAGACAGCAAAATCCCATGAATAGGAGCTTTCTATGCGTGAAAGACCAAGCCTTCCAACATAATTACATCCCCACCACATAATAGTTAAAACTGCGGGCAAAACAAACCCCACAACCAATGCCACAAGCCTTACAGCAAAAAACTATCATAGAAGCCAATAAAAACAAAACAAAACTGGTAAACAGCAAATTAAACTCGAATATAAGGTTCTGCCACATCACTTTTTATCAACTTAGCTAGCATGGGAGGTGGAGTGATGGCAACAATAGGACCATGTACCCTCCATTTAGCAAGCCAATCCGCAGATTTGTTGCATTCTCTATATGCAAAGGAAAATAATATGTCTAAATCCTATCCCTCAATAATTTGCCTAATGCAATTAAACCAAATTATGGCATGCCAAGGGGGGTTAAGCTTAGCAGAGAGCATACAATACAGAATCTCATAATCAGTTTCCAAAATAAGAGTTTTTAGATTTAGAGAGACAACAGTTTGTAACGCACCAAGAACAACAATAATTTCAGCATCAATAGAAGAATTTGCCATACATGGTGATGCAAAGAAGAAATAACAATGACCATTTTCATCTCTAAATATTCCACCCACACCCTTATACTCTTTGGCAAAACTTTCATCAACATTAATCTTAATCCTGCTGTGTGAGGGTGGTGCCCATCTAATTAAGATGATTGACCTACCCCTACCAACATTAAGAGAAGCTTCATTCACAATCGAATTACGCCAAGCCTTTTTAAAATAAGCCACAACAAAAGCAGAAGTAGTAGAGGGAGTAAGGCAAGTACCATCATATTTATCGCTATTTCGTGCCATCTAAATGAACTACAGAACAATGCCGAGGAAATAACTTTGCTTATAGAAAGTAGAATTGAAGTCCTTCCAACTATTAATAGCAGCTTTTAAGGTTAAATTTGGTAGCCAATTGATCCCAAAGTAAATCCAATTGTATTCCAAACATCTTTAGCAAAAGTGCATTCAAAGAACAAATGGTTCAAACTTTCAGCCCCTCTTTGCAGTTATAACAGAAAGAAGCAAGTTTTAAACCTTTCATCTTAAGTATATCATCAAGTGGAAGTAACTTGTGAAAAAATCTCCATAGAAAAAAGGTAATAGATGGAGATAACATCTTATGTCTAATGTAAGAGTGCCATTTCCAAAGTGTGAAGTTGTGCATATTTGAGTAAATCATCTTTGTAACAGAAGTACGGTCACTGTGCTTCCAAAAAGGCTTACTTTTATCATGTGCTTTTATAGGAATAGTGGCAATAGCAGGGGCAACATCCCCAATTAATTCCTGAAGCTTTATGATATTCCATTGTTTACCAATCCAAAGTTCAGAAATAAGCAAATTAGCATCATAACTAGGAGGAGGTAAAACAATAAATTGAGAAAGGCCCCAATCATCATTCCAGAAAGAAATATTACTATCCCCAATATCCCAAAACATAAGATCTGAAGCAACATCCCTAGCATCTATAATAGCCTTCCAATTTTTTGAATCCCCCACTTTCCACTTAACAGTAGCAGGATGAGAGTTTTTACAGTATTTGTGGTGCATAAATCTCGACCAGAGAGATTCCCTCAATCTGAATTTGAACCAAAGCTTACACGTATTAATATCAACAATATGCTTTAGAGATTTAAAACCTAGACCTCTGACACTATGAGGCTTATAAATGTACTTCCAATTGGTCCAGATTTTAGAAACTCTACTTCCCTGCCACAAAAATTTGTTGAAAAGAGTTTCAAGATGATTCATAGTGCTTTCTTTAGCCTTAAGCACATGCATAGTGTATAATGGAAGTGTAGTGAGAACACTTTTAAGTAAGGTGCTTGTTTAGTTCTGCCTTTAATAAAAAGGAAGGTATTACGCCAATCATTAAAAAGGAAGTTATTACGCCCATTAAAAAGGAAGTTATTACGC